TAGATAGATAGAAAGATAGAAAGAAAGATAGATAGATAGATTAATAAATTGATAGAAATAAATAAATAAATAAAGAAAGAAAAATATATAGATAGAAAGATAGAAAGAAAGAAGAAATAAAGAAAGAAAGAAAGAAAAATAGATAGATCGATAGATAGATAGAAAGAAAGAAAGAAAGATAAAGAGATAGATAGATAGATAGATAGATAGAAAGATAAAAAGTTAGCTAGATAGATGAATGGATAGATCGATAGAATCATAGATAGATAGATAGATATAGAGTGTTTTGGCTAATTATCCTTCATACTGGTCCTGCTACCTTTGCTCGAGTGAATGTGTGCATGTGTGTGTATACGTGTGTCTTAATGTCTATCCATCTTAAGTCTTTCTGTTGGATCTGTCAACAGAGGCCTGTTTGTGTCAGTGTCATTGGAATGAACTAGCATTTTCTGTACATAACTTGACCTATCCATGACTCCCACCGCTCCATCCTCGTCCATTTTCATAACGATTACATTATTATAGAATGGATAAATAAAAAACCCTACTAAGATGACAATCTTTCTTTGGCCGAATTATATCGTCAAAATGAGGATTCACCTCCAGTTCTCTCTTCGGCAAATCTATCAAATAAGCTAATTAATTGAACAATAATGTCCGCAGAATGGTTTGCCAAATTGGGAAGAGCAAAATTCCATCCGCTTTCCAATAAAAGTACCCTCTCCTGCCCCCGTTTGCTGCAATCCTCTTTAGTAAGACTCAACTTGGACGCAGAGTTTCTCGACCTGATTCGAATTCCCGAATTCCGCAGCCTCAAAATCTTGTATCCGACGCGTAGTTCTGTCGGTCGCGTCGGGCACATTTGACAATTTAAGCAAATCCAAAAGTCTCTTCCCAAGCCTAATTTTGACAATAGTCACTTTGTCTGATTAACCCAATTTTTTACCTTACTTTCATCTCTTTTCTTCGAGTATAATTATCAGCCTACTCATGAGTAGTACATATTTTTTTATCGTCGATGGTAGGTTACACAAACAAACACAACGACCGGCGATGGGATCTTTTGATGGCTCCCATTTTGGCGAACAATTCTATGGCAAGACTGGAGGATCACTTGCTGCAAGAGACAATACCAACCAAAAATTGTCGGTCAGATACGTGGATGACTATTTTATCATCTGACCTTAGGGTTAGGAAAGTTGAGATGCAATTGGTTGACCTTATTTTCGCAACTGGGTCATGTTGACACGAGGATGAATTCGCGAATGTACCACGTCCACGACCCGAGTCTGCAAATGCTCATGCATGAAATGGAAATCCGACCGCAACCACACAAAAGACCACATCAACTTGGTCTTTATTTCTTTTAAAGTTTGCACAATTTCCTACTTTCACTCGTTCAGCGTGAAAGTCGGGAAGAGATGTTTATGGCAATTTTATTTCCAGCCATAGTTACAAGACTAATGCTGGCATTTTGACGTCGATGCTGATTAGAAGGTTGAGGCTAGCGGATGGCAACTATCATTTGTGGTTTATTGAGAATAGCATCTTTTTACGGAGGAATACATTTTCTGACGGAGGCTATTCAGTCGAAGAGCGACAAGACGAGACACTGTCTATTGCATGTCCTCTTTCAAGAAGATTGGCGAATTAGAACAAAAGTGGGGCATAAAAAGAGTTTTTAAAGAAACCCTCACACTTTCTTCTGCTATGCCATCTTTTAGAGAGAAATAGGACCCATTTTCGAGATCCGGCTGCTGCAAGATTGCGAAGAAAAGTTGGGTTTCGAGGAATGTCTTGTTTCACAATTGTTCAGCTGACTTCCATTTCGAGTGAAAGTGTTGCCTGAAGAGATTCAAAGTTCGGTTCCGCCAGAAAAAGAAGACGCTGTTGCCGAGTCCGGTGAAAAAGCGCTCATCTTTCGTCCGTCTTTTGACGAGCATCATCCCAGCCAGGTGCCATCGTCACAACCGAATTCGACTCTCTTCACACAACACTTTCACTCAAAGTGCTACAAGATTGTCTGCTCATGTGGTCGATGTTGTGTTGGTGTGACAGAGAGTGGGAAAAAGACAAAAATGCTTGCGATGGAAGCTGGGTTCGACGGTCGGAAGTTGTAAAATACGCAATCCAGAGTCTGGAAATGAGATGAAATGTTGAAAAAAGGAGCAAAGAGAGGTAATGAAATGGGTAGATTAGGGAGGACGTTGGATGTGGACAGCGCCGGTGGTATGCTCGATTGATAGATTGCAGAAGAGAGAAGGTGTGGAACCGCCGTCCGAAAGAAGGCTCGGTGAAGATTCCGACTTCACTCACACTCACCCAACATGTTACATTCAGCTCATCCAAGACGAGGTTACGCAGCTCCAGTCATGCTTTTCCTTGTCGGCTTAAACGCGAATGACCCTCGACAGAGAGGTCAGGACAAGTGGTTCAGTACCCCTACTTACACACAAACAAGCCTACATCTCATTAGTATTTCATCCACACTTGCTTACCGACTTACGCGGTCTCGGTGAGGGCTTTTTCTTTTTATTGAATCATTATGTCTCAATTACCACAACCTGGCATCAGCATTTTCGTATCACTCTTATTTAGGGCCGTTATTGCTTAGAGACGTTAACACACATACACACACATACACAAACAGAAACACTCGAGCAAAAGTAGAAGGACCAACTATGCCTATTAATATGCATTTTAAATCATGAGTCTAGCTAAAAGGAAAGATAGAGCCGTTTGATAGCTAGTCGTCTTGATGTTTGTTGACAGACACACACATACAAACACACACAGACACACACCTTCGAGCAAAAGTAGAAGGACCAACTATGCCTATTAATGTACGTTTTTAATCATGAGTCTAGCTAAAAGGAAAAATAAAGCAGTTCGATAGCTAGTCGTCTTGATGTTTGTTGACAGACACACACATACAAACACACACAGACACACACCTTCGAGCAAAAATAGAAGGACCAACTATGCCTATTAATGTACGTTTTTAATCATGAGTCTAGCTAAAAGGTAATATAAAGCCGTTTGATAGCTAGTCGTCTTGATGTTTGTTGACGTGAGACTTTTACAAGAATGACACCCAGCTGTTCTGATGTCCATCATTTGATGTACGACAGCTCAGCACATTTTCACCTGAAACGAGGCAGGAAGCCTTGTGGATTTCGTCAACATGTGCATCGTACAAAAGCCAAACTGCTGCAGTACAACGAGGATCATCCGTCCTCATCCGGTGAGATCGACCAACGAGATGAAGGTCCCCCCAACAATGTCATCTCAGGAAATTCATCAAAACCAACTTTCCTTCGTATCTACAGTCAATTTGTAATCGGTATTCTAGCCTCGGTTGGCATTTCACGGACCACCAAAGCTACCCAAAAGTTATTTTTTTGTTAAACTACTGCAAAATGAATATAAGCCTTTTTTTCAATTGATTATACTTGCTTTAGACTCGGTTTTGACGAATACAACTCGATGGATTCCAACAAAGTGCTTCCTTCTCAATTCCTGGAATTCAAGCCAGCCAGTTGATTATCTGATCTCCGGTAAGCATTTTGCTCATCTTCAACCTGCCATGGAATTTTGATCTATG